AATGGGGAGCAGAACAGGCCAACTGACAAAGTACACTGCTGAGGGGAGCAGTGGGCGGGTCAGAAGAGGTCTGCCACGCCATGTGGGTCAGCTCCCTGGCAGGGGATCGAACTTGTGCTGCAGTGGCTTTGGAGAGCTTCATAATGTGGTGCTTTAACCTGTTGTGCCACCAGGGAGAGCCCCCCCACCTGTTTTATAATCCCTGTTATAAGGATTTAGTTTATAAGATTAAAATTGTGGGAAAACAACACATAACTTAGAATTATGTTGTTCGTCATCTGCAAAAACTTGTCAATAATGATAGTAGTTAATGAGATACTGTCATAGAGCGGGTTGACAGATACTTGTTCTTCAGTCAAAACATTGACTTGATAGTTAACCTTTATTCTTTTTGTTCATTCAAAGATTCTACCCTGTTTGCTGAACTTGGCTATCTCACAGACACTGATGACCTGCAGTTGGATGCAACAAATGAAACTTATGTAAGTATTTACTAGAGGAGAAATCCTGAATAAATGATACTTAATCTTTACCTTAATTATTGCAAGAAACTTTTAGGATAACAGATTTAGTATAATTATTTAAGCTTAAATTACTTTAGCATTAAATGTGAAAGTTAGTAGCCATTTTGTAGTCAGTGAATGTAGGGTTGAAGAAATTGCAGTGGCCTTGTTTTGATTAGACTTGTCTGTTCTAAGTTTACCTTTGGCCCCAGGGGCATGTGACCTTGAAAAAATTTCTTAATCCCTAACTTCTTGGTTTTCTTCAGGTTCTTTGCTATAAGAGGGAAATGTTTGTGATGTTAAGGAGTATGTGTGAGTCACAGAGCTGGTCAAATATAATTTACTAAATAAAAAAAAGTTATATATCTTTAGTGGTGCTAAGTTCTGAAATTTAGATCTGTCCTTTTTACCTCTTAGTGATTGAAGTCTGTATGAAAGCTACTATAACACCTTCAGTCCTCAAAAATAGCCTTTTTTAATTTATTGGATTAATGTATCTGAAGCTGTTTGGCATAGAGTACTCTCACTTTGTCTTACTTTTTAATAGATGAGGTGGTGTTTCACTTGGAAAATAATCCAAGTGAGGAGAGTGCCTCGATCACATCCAGCATCATTCAGGTTCAATATTTATCACTTTTTTTTTTAAGTCCTTGTAGGCCTGATTATAAAAGCAAATAATGCTCTCTCAGTGAGTTGTGGGCATTTTTTTTTTAATTAAAAAGTTTATTTTTACATCATTTTGCACATTTTTTTTTCATCTCAATTGTAATCCCCACGGGTTTCCCATCACCAAATCCCCCCTGTGCCACCACCATAGTCCCGTGCATTTGCCCCCCCCCCCCGTTTTTGATCCCATTCCCCACTCCACCCCCGAGTTGTGGGCATTTTTAAAAGACTAATTTAGCAGTTGTTTTTCTCTAAGTCAGTAAAAGAGAGTGAAATGCATGATAATTTTTTAATCTGTGCATGAGATTTTAATGGTTTCATTTACTCTGTGAAATACTTTAGAAAGTGGTCCATTGATTAAATTGGCTGGTTGCCTAAGTAACTGCTACTCCCTTGCAACTTTAGGATGTAGAATCATCAAGAAACAATGTAGTAAGCTTGAAAGATTCAGGGCAATGTGGTCTTAATTTTATAACATTCACTTACTTAAACCAATTGTTTAATCTTTTGATGCCTTGTTTTTCTAGTATAAAATGAAGTGGTTGGGTTAGATGACCTGAGGGTCCTTTCTAGCTTAAAGTGTGTCCTACTGCAGGGCAGTAAAGTTTTCCAGAAGTCATTGAAGAGTCGTATGTTTTAGTTTGTATCAGATGGGTCTATTCAGTTTCCAACTAGGTAAAAATCTTATCCTTTGAAAGGTATTTATTTCTGGCTGATCATGAACGTGACATCCTTGATCTGACTGAACACGTTAGCATGGACTAATGGACTCAGGCCAGCAGCCTGCTTGGTTTACTTGAAATAAGACAGTTTAAAGGCTTTTTAATTGCTTGAACATACAAAGCTACCTAGTTTTTTGTTGTATAGATTCAAATGAGGAGATTGATTTAAAAAATGTTCTTTTGTGATCTAAATAGATATTTTTTTGCTTCGCGTGAACTTTCACACATTCACTTTATATAACTTGTACCAATATTTACTCAGTTAAGGGCAATATGATAAGAAAATAGTTTACTTTCTTTCCTCCTGTTTCATTCTCAATAAAAATAAACCACATAATAGACGTTTTGGGACAATAATATTATTCTAGAAATTATTACCAGATGATTGTTAATAATTACTAGGTTAATCTTTACTTTGTGTCTAAGGCTTACTTTATTTGTGCTCTTTAATCTGTTAATATTGACTACCCTTTGATGTTGTTTTACAGTTTATAAAGTTTACTTTTGTTTTTGTCTCTGTAACTCTAGGTATTTACAATAGTAGTTGGTACTGTTTTGATCTCACACTCACATGAGGGTATTGAAGATATATGACAGTTTATATATATATATATATGGTATAAGATGGTCATCTAAATGCCAAAGAATGTACTAATATTTAGATAAAAAAATTATCATCTAAATGAAAAGAAACTAAAAGGTTTTCTAAGAGAGTTGTTTACCTCTGTTTAAGAAACTTAGCTTTATCTTCTAGGACTAAAATATTTCTAATTCATAACATTTTGAAATTAATTTAAAAAATTTGAAAAC